CAACACATTTACCTCATCCGTAAACATCACATTTACCTCATCCGTAACATCACATTTACCTCATTCGTAAACAACACATTTACCTCATCCGTAAACAACACATCTACCTCATTCATAAACAACACATCTACCTCATCCGTAAACAACACATTTACCTCATCCGTAAACAACATATCTACGTCATCCGTAAACAACACATTCTCCTCATCCGTAAACAACACATTCTCCTCATCCATAAACAACACATTCTCCTCATCCATAAACAACACATTCTCCTCATTCATAAACAACACATTCTCCTCATCCGTAAACAACACATTCTCCTTATCCGTAAACAACACATTCTCCTCATCCGTAAACAACACATTCTCCTCATCCATAAACAACACATTCTCCTCATCCGTAAACAACACATTTACTGATTCTTTTATAATTTTCTGTCCATCCCAAAATGTAGGTTTATATTAAAACAACACATTTACCTCATCCGCAAACAACACATTTACCTCATCCGCAAACAACACATTTACTGATTCTTTTATAATTTTCTGTTCATCCCAAAATGTAGGTTTATATTAAAACAACACATTTACCTCATCCTGTAAACAACACATTTACTGATTCTTTTATAATTTTCTGTCCATCCCAAAATGTAGGTTTATATTAAAACAACACATTTACCTCATCTGTAAACAACACATTTACTGATTCTTTTATAATTTTCTGTCCATCCCAAAATGTAGGTTTATATTTCCGAAGAGACTATAATCCTTTAAGAATATAATTATCCATGTCTTGTTTTGTTGCGATTTTCCTTTTCTGTTGATGGTTGTATTACTACAGGTGTTCTTTCCCACCCCGTTTATGATGTTATAGCTTGGATAGAACAAACCCTTAAGAATATAATTATCCATGTCTTGTTTTGTTGCGATTTTCCTTTTCTGTTGATGGTTGTATTACTACAGTTGTTCTTTCCCACCCCTTTTATGATGTTATAGCTTGGATAGAACAAACCCTTAAGAATATAATTATCCATGTCTTGTTTTGTTGCGATTTTCCTTTTCTGTTGATGGTTGTATTACTACAGTTGTTCTTTCCCACCCCTTTTATGATGTTACAGCTTGGATAGAACAAATTATAAACTATTTACATCCATATAGAGATAATAAAGTGACAATAGGTGATTTCTTGAGAAAGTAACTAGTTGGAGCTCCTGTAGATTTAGAAGAGCACAGATCTAGGAATTTGTTTTATAGTTTCTTTACATGTTCTTTATATTTCTGGAATTATTTTCACATTAAAACTATGTCTATTTGAAATTATACACAAATTTTTTTCTTTGACAAGATATCAGCTAAGTTTAGGTTCAGCGGGTATGTTTGTGAAAGTAAAATGTTCTGGAGACTCAAATTTTTATTTTTTAAATATTATTCTTAAGTTTATCATATTCAGTTAATAAAAATAACCTATTATTTATTGAAAATAAACTATATTTATTAGAAACAAGCTGAAATACCTGTCAACTGGCAGGAATGTTCAAACTTTGTTAATGCAATGTAAGTTTAACAGCAATTATGTATTTTGAAGTAATAATTTGAACATAAACTTTATCTCAAAATTTTAAAATTATAACAAAGATTCTTCATAAACAACATTAGCAGTTTGCTTTCCATCTACCAAGATTTTGAGGTGATCCCACCCTTCAACATCCTACATGTCACTGACCATGAGAAAAGCATGGTTATTTGAGAAACAATCCAGCAACTTTTGTTCTATGACCTTGAATCTCTTTAGAATATTCAACATTGTCTAAAGCATCAACCTGCCAAGATTGTTTGAGGTAGACTCAATAGGATGGGAGTAATTAACCGACAGGCTTTACAAAAATAGGGTTAAGTTCAGTTTTAACCCCCCTTTAGGATGCTTTTCATAGTTCATACGTACAAATTTTGGTTGAGATTGGCCCAATAGGCTCAGAGGAGTTAGGGTGCAAATAAACACACATTTCACCTTTATGTATATAGATAAATTAATCTTGATTAAAAATATTGTTACCTAGCCTAAAGAAGGTAATGGTGATACCATTTGGAAAGATGAGGGTTCTGAGTCACTGATATATTTTTGTCAGTTTCTGTTTGTTTTTAAAAGATTTATAGCTGGAAGTAATGACTTCTGCAATGGGTAAATTAATTATCAAAGAAATGTTTTAATGAATACCAATCAAGTTGAAATTGAATGGATAATAATGGACCTTTTTGACCAACAAAAAGAAATTAAAATTTTAAAGTCAAAGAAAGTGTTTTAGTTTTTTTAAAACAGTATCTTTGAGAAAGTTTTAGAAACTTCACAATGTAAAAAATGATAGAAATACTGAATCAATTTACATGATTTTTTTAAAGCCAAGATTAGATGCTATTTAGTAGGTTTGTGTAAGTTGTTAAAGTATTTCCATCGTAAGAAGGAAAACTCAAGGGATATCAGTGACACCCCTCTGGTTAGGAAAGGGTTAAGAGGTAAGTTTCTGTTCTTAAATCATGCATATTAATTAGCCAAATTGAACAATTATACCTTTCATATAACTGACCAAGTAAAACTGAACTAGCTAAAAATTATCTTATAATGTTACTGTTGAAAGTTATCTTGTAAACTGAAGTCTACCTTGAAATTGTAATTACTTTTTTATTTTTACAAGGAAAATATTTCATTCTTTGACAGGTATAGGTGGACTTGAAGAGCATGTTTTAAAGTCTGCTACACTGTCGAGTTCCATTTACTGTCCACCTTTTATTGACCTTCATATGCCAACACTTCCAATATTACGTGTGGCTATTGAACCAGTTCGACTTAGTAAGAATAGAATCTTTATGTTACATTATTATATTTATAATATTTATTTATTTATAAGCTGTGCATCTGTTGACTTGGCACAAAAGTTGGGAAAAAAATATTTTTGGGAAACACCATTTTGAAACTTTGCAAGGTATCTTTTTTCATTAATTTGAACTGTTAAGTTTCTTCACTGTAGTTTTTGTCGAGAATGTCTTATCATTTCAGGAATCAAGTGTAATAAAAAGAGATATAAAGGTTCAAAACTAATAATACATTTTAAATCACTTAATATACATTTGTGTAAAATCTTAACAGTCCAAGTTTTATAAGAACAATAGAAGTGAGCTGTTTGTTTATCAGGAGTGTTTAACAAGAGCATTCAGTTATTTGTGTGTGTGGCTAGAAAACAAGTTCAGTAGCTTGACTTATGAGTCATGTTTCAAAACAAGTTCAGTAGCTTGACTTACGAGTCATGTTTCAAAACAAGTTCAGTAGCTTGACTTATGAGTCATGTTTCAAAACAAGTTCAGTAGCTTGACTTACGAGTCATGTTTCAAAACAAGTTCAGTAGCTTGACTTACGAGTCTTATGTTTTGAAACAAGTTCAGTAATTTGACTTACGAGTCATGTCTTGAAACAAGTTCTGTAGCTTGACTTGCGAGTCTTATGTTTCGAAACAAGTTCAGTAGCTTGACTTACGAGTCTTATGTTTTGAAACAAGTTCTGTAGCTTGACTTACGAGTCTTATGTTTTGAAACAAGTTCAGTAGCTTGACTTACGAGTCTTATGTTTCGAAACAAGTTCAGTAGCTTGAGTTACGAGTCTTATGTTTTGGAACAAGTTCAGTAGCTTGACTTACGAGTCTTATGTTTTATTTGTCTCAAAGATTATCTTGAAGGCCATTGTAAATAAAAGTCAGCATGTGAAAATGTGTGTTCATTTTTTTAAATAATTCTTTAACCATTGGGTAAGTTTTATGGCTAAATGGATTTTATGGGTCAAGATTGTAAAATTATTCTAAGGTAAAGTACAGTATGTGTGGTAGATTACAAGGTTTCTTAATAGACAACTATGAATTCATGGGATTTATTACTAGCAGAAGTGTATTAGCAACTAAGCTTAAGCTAATTCTGTGTGAGCCTTAAGATAAATATATATATACACACACACACACACACACACACACACATACACACACACACACACATAAAAATATATAGTACATATTTCACAGAACATTAAACTGATCCCCCACTCCCTTGGCTTAGCAGTAACTCTCATAGCCTACTGTGTTAAAATCGGGTTTCAGTACAGTGGTGGGCAGAGGACAGATAGCCTATTTCGTAGCCTTTTTTACTCAGTAATAATCAAATTACACTGATAAGATTATGATATATTTTTAAAAGTAAACTTGATACTTGTGTGTACAAAGCTGTGCTCCATCTTCACACTAGAGCTTCTGTTTATATATAAAAAACTCACTCTGAAAAAAGATCGATTTATAAGTGAAAATAACTTCTTAACGTAGGTGACATGCCAGCCCTTGTGCAAGGTATGAAGCTGCTAAATCAAGTTGATCCAAGTGTCCAGGTCCTGATCCAAGAGACTGGTGAGCATGTTCTAGTCACAGCGGGCGAAGTTCATTTAGCAAAATGTGTCACTGATTTACAAGAGAGGTAAGAATTACTCTACTACTGATTTACAAGAGGGGTAAGAATTACTCTACTACTGATTTACAAGAGGGGTAAGAATTACTCTACTAGTGATTTACAAGAGGGATAAGAATTACTCTACTACTGATTTACAAGATAAGTAAGAATTACTCTACTACTGATTTACAAGAGAGGTAAGAATTACTCTACTACTGATTTACAAGAGGGGTAAGAATTACTCTACTACTGATTTACAAGATAAGTAAGAATTACTCTACTACTGATCT